CCCCCTCGGCTTCCAGATGCCAAATTGTAGTTGTCCAGAACTTATTTGTTCTGTTGCAAAAACTGTGACGTAATGGTTAAGAAAACCTCAAGGAAAATTGAGAAAACTGAAAAGGTGGAAAAATATGACTGAAACAGAATCTAAAGATATCTACTCAGCATCTGGAGATATAGCCTGACCCTTGCATTCCTACACAGTTCCGCTCAATTATCTTTCTCTGCTCCGTCTGAGATTTCTCCAATGAACAAGGATTTCTCCTGTAGAATTTCAAMYAGGCCAATCAGTGAACAGAAGGATTTGTGAATGACAACGTCGATTTTCTGCACCGTTTCAGTCTGCCTGTAGTTAAGCAGTGGCAGCAGAGGAAGTGAATGAAGCCAGTCTGTGTTAATAAGGCTTCCAAGTTAAACTAAATTTGTCTCACAAAGCCTGCAGCACTCATTTAAAACCATCTCATTCAGCTCGGTGCTTCTCTCTTCCCAGTAGGGAATGGTTGTTTACAGCGCACGCAGTTTCCGTTTAGCTTCTTCGCTTAGCTTCCTTCATGGTGGAGCTGGTGTGCTACATACAGGGGTTAGACAATGAAAGTGAAACACCTGGTTTTAGACCATAACATCCCTTTCAGACAGCTTCTTCTTGCGTCCACAGTTTGTCCTGATGGATGTGGTTGGTCCTCCTTGGTGGTATGCTGACATTACCCTAGATACTGTGGCTCTTGATRCATCACAAATACTTGCTGTCTTGGTCACAGATGCACCAGCAAGACGTGCACCAACAATTTGTCCTCTTTTGAACTCTGGTCTGTCACACATAATGTTGTGTGCATTGCAATATTTTGAGCAAAACTGTGCTCTTACCCTGCTAATTGAACCTTCGCACTCTGCTCTTACTGGTGCAATGTGCAATTAATGAAGATTGGCCCCCAGGCTGGTCCAATTTAGCCATGAAACCTCCCACACTAAAATGACAGGTGTTTCAGTTTCATTGTCTAACCATTGCACGTCACCGCCAAACGTTAGCAATTGGGTAAATCAAATGCAATCATTTTAAACTTCAACAGAGTCCRCAGCTCCAGCAAGAAATCATTTCTCAACAGGCAAGAGTCCAGACCCTCTGTACAAAGCAAAGCATTGGACAAGGGGCTGGTTTTTACCAGGCTACTGGGGAAAATCAGTTCAGACTTTTCTGCACTCAGGAGACTCCAAGTACACAACAAAATGTATTTGAAGGCTAAAAAAGTGGATTTTTCTTGAAATGTCATCTTTAAAGAAAGTACTGGCATTGGTCAGACCACCAATTTGGTAATACCCACAAGTTCATGAGGCGGCTTTGGTGTAGTGGTAGGGCCGGCGACTTGGGACCAGAAAGTTACAGGAATGACTCCCTGTCATTGCCCAGATGTTGTGGTGTTGAAGACTTAAAGACACAACCCCCAGCTGCTCCCCGGGTGCTTACAGAGCTGCCCGCTGCTCCACTTGGGTGTTTCTCAGGTGTGACGAGTCAAATGCACAGCACAGATTACATCATTGCATGGGAACATGCAYTGATGACAAATAAAGTCCCTTTACCTTCAATCTTTCTGATTTTTATGCTTGGAAAATAATACAAGGAGTCATTTTAGCTTCTCTATCTTCTTGCTGCAGTACACGTACAGTACACACTCCATATTTAAGAGACTGTGTGTGTGTGTGTGTGTGTGTGAGTGTATTTAACTCCTAACATTTTCTCCATCATCTAAGATCAAACCATTAAAGACCAGTAGCTGCGTTTCCATTGACCATGAAAATGCRCAAATTAGAATTTCAAAAATAAATTTGCTCAATGGAAGCACGTCAATTTCGAAAAAATTTACKTTTTTCGACAAAACGTTTTTGCGCTAGGATGAGGTGGTATTTTGGCCGTATCAAAATTGGTGATTTTCGCAAAACTGCAATGGAAACACTTTTCGCATCACGGGAGTCACCTGATCAACAACCGGCTGTTTCCACTGGCGAAAAAAATGAAGACGAAGAAGATAACAGGAAGAAGTAGTAGTACAATCATAGAAGTAGTAAAAGAAAGTAGTAAACTCACCGACTACAATTTCCCAAAAACACAGCATACGTAGCCGCTCCCAAGTAGGGAATTGTCACTCGAAAGCCTCGATAAAAGACGCCGACGTCTCCTCTGATGATGAGCGCTAGTGTCGCTGTAGCAACATGCTATGTGTTTACATCCATCGCCGCCATGTTTGTAATGACTTATCATGAGAACAAACGTATTCACGCGTGACTTTAACAGCATTTCTTACTTAATGGAAACACCGCAGATGCGAAACTGTGTTTTTTCAACATTAACAGAATATCGACAAAGTGTTGCGCACATTTGCAATGGAAACGCAGCTACTAGGAGTTTACTCAGTCTTGTGGACTAAGTCAAGCTTTTCCCTGGTTTGCAGAGACCTCCTAGACGCCACCTGAGTTGGGTGACGAATACACACCGTGTAGAACATTTTCTTACCGCACAATACGACACGGTGCTTCTAGAAAAAATATGTCCAAACTTGATTTTTATTCATTGTCTGCTTCGAGCTGTTTGGAAATCATTACTATATCAAAGCTTTGGCAAATGAATCCTCATCAGCAATTTTATTGCTGGCTGCCGTTTGGAAATGAGACACGCTTGCTTTCATAATGAACTAACTCTGACGAAGAGAGAAGTAGTGAGGCTGACACAACTAGCAGGAAAAAGATACTGGCAGCAGATCAGTTAGCTTTTTCCCCTCTTCTTTAGGAACGTTTATGTTGAAAAGTGAAGCAAAGCATGCTGCAACAGAGCACTTTATTTATAAGAGGCTTAATCAGCACTAAAAGTATCTGTTAGTTGACGGTTGACGAAGCAAAGGGAGTTTTTTTTCTTTTTAAAATATTTTGTGAGCGTCTCTTCAGAGCACCRGGTCGTTTTGCAGCTATCACTTTTGTTTCTTCAGGTTCATTGCATGTTTTTGCAGTTCAGCTCAACTGAGCCACAGTTTTGCTAAAAGGGGCGTGAAATCTCTAAGGTCAAGCATTATAAAGCTCAGTTATCTGAATAATCACTCTCCGTGGAGCACCTCCAAAGCTCACCGCACTCTTTCCTGAACAAACATTATCCAGGAGAAGGGATTAAATAAGACAGGTCAGGCAAGGTGACTCCGAACTTTTTTTTTATTTGATCCGCATATTTTTGCAAATCAGCTTTTTTACCCGCAAAAAAAAAAAAAGCCAAACAACGAGCACTTTTCTCCAATAAAAGAGATCAATAACAACTTTATTGGTACCAATTCCTTCGTTTTTCCTCAAGATGTTTTATATTTATGTGTTGTTTGGATAAATGAATGGATTCGCTTGTCATTAACAGATTTATTTGGTGAGCACCCTGCCAAGTTAGACGTCTTGATAGTTAACTGGGAATGCCAACACTCACAAAAATTAATGATTAACGAAGAAGCTTTTTTTTTTTTCTTTTCCTGACAAAGTGTTTAAACAGAACCTATGTGAGTTTTTACTCCTAGAACTGCTGGACTTGATTGATTATTCTGCC